TTTTAATTTCTAAGGTGTTAAAACTGACAGACACTCTGTTTAATGAACATCTGTAGCTATTTTGTCTCCTACCTGTGGGAATCTATATTTGGTTCCTGTCTGCTTTTATGTATATTAGCGCAGCCCATGTATTGTGTATTGTTTATATATGTGTTTGTGACTATATACTGTTTACATGTTACCAAAGTAACTTATTGATAAATGAACACTCATTAATTCAAAAAGCAAACTGGATCTAAATGCCTTTTAGTTTACACCACTTAAGTAAATTGTTAACAAATAAGTCAATTTAAATAGGTTAAAAAGATAAAATTAAAGATGTCTTTAAAATTATTGTCCATGTTTTTCTAAGTAGCCATCCAATTAAGAGAGTATTAGTTTTTATAAAATGTCAAAGTATAATGTCCATTGCTATTAGTCTTTTACTTTTACAGGAAAATAACCTAGCATGTCACATATGCTTGCCTGGTGTCTAGGTTTTCATGGATAAATAAGGTTCAATATTAATGGAATAAACATTTAAAAAATGTGTTCATTAGAGACATCTGGTTAATTTGCAATCCAAAGACTAACACATCAATTGCTAAATAGAAATTCAAGTACTCTTGGCTTATTAAATTCTATAAGACAATATTTTATATTGGTGTCTATTGATGAATGTGTTTTTATAAATTAATGGTATATTAAATCCAATTAAAAATGTTTTTCTTCTGGTTTTAAACTAACTTATTAAGAGTTAAAATTCTAACTAATAGATATAATTTTATAGGTGAATATATATTTCATATTTATATATTATCTACTTATATTTAGATAAATATAAAGAATTTAATTTGTGTTTAAATTGGAATAATCTATAAAAAGTAAAATGGTCAATCTTATTAAAAAGGGCCATTTATCTAAGTTGAACATTTTGGAAAGATTGTTTCAAAATGTAAACTTAAAATGAGTCAACAACTAAAAAAGCAGAGATAAAAAGCTAAACGTATTTTGGCAAGGAAAATTAAAAAGAGAAAGAACTTTTCCTCATATAAACTATAGAGTGTCTATGTAAACTACCAAGGTTTTTGAAAGGTAAATCTTAAGAAATGTGTACGTGTCATTAAGTTGGCTGTAATTAGCACAGTCAGTGCTAATTATTTAAGAATTTTTCTAAGTTCAAAATTTAATGTACTGAAATACAATTAGTATCTAACTCTTCATTTTATTAACAACAAGGATTTCTTAAAATATTGATCTGCTCTTAATTGTCAAGGTAAATGTTTGTGACTATTAAGATTTTATTAATTAGAAAACTAGGCTAAATTTAACTTCATTTAATGTTATGTTCCAAAAAAATTGATTTTTGTTGTAAATATTACTATGATCCAAAAGAAAAATGAATATAATAAAAACTAAATAAATATTTGGATAAATTTTAAAAGGCATTCAAATGTAAAAAAAAAGGCATTTTAAAAAAGTAAGACTTTTAAAGATTTTATGTGTGATTGAGTTAGTTGACAAACAGGAAGTTTTATAGATACCAAAGATACATTGGTGTCATAAATTATGTTTCTTTGTTAAAAATCTATTATAAAAACTGAATATGGTTGTACTGAATATGGTTTTACTCTTGCTAATTTCATTTTATATTTTCCTTGTAAAACTTTAGGACAATTGCCTCTAAGTGTTGTGCAGAAGTAGTACTTCTAAGAGAATAACCTGATTTAACTTAAGGTAATATACATTTACCTATAGGACAGATAGGATATGATGCTCATTCACAGTACTAATTCTGACCTTCCATTAAATGGAAGAGTAAAACCTCACTTCTACCTCAAATCTTCTGAAATGGGCATGTTGGATGTTTAAAACCAAAATTAGTAAACTAAACCCAAGGAGGTAAAAAGATTAAGAAAAAACAGCTAAATTTTTATTATGGCCCTCTCTAAGGTCAGCTAGGACTCAGGGAAAAATGGGGTCACTTTTAGGCCCAAGAATTCTGGTGAGTCACCCATCCTCCCAAAGGGAGGGATTGTAAGGACCCTGGAGAACAGGAAACCAACCAGTGTAAATTCTGGAGAAAAGTGTCATTGGAGAGAGTTATATCTCTGGTGCTTTTAAGGAAAGCCATGTGTGGTCAGGAAGACTCTGACCCATCCTGGCAGATGCTGTAACTGATAGAGAAAAAGTTAAAGAAGTCAAGAAACTTCCCACAAGTTAAGCCCTGAGAAATCTCAGATGACCCTAACAGTAGAAAAACAAGAGAATAATTTTTGATCAACAGAAGAGTTACCTACTTGGTCTTAAACACCCAGCTGGAAAGTATAACCAAAGCACAGCCATAGATAGATATTTAAATGAGAAAACAATGGCCCTTTTAATGAGTTGTACACCTGTGTAAGCCCTACCAAAAATAAGTAAAGCCAGGAGGCTTATTTTGTGGAAGGATTCTTTTATAGGACTGCCTGATAATAACTATCTCAAAAGATTTCTGCAAGATTTACAAGTTTGTCCTAAGTCAACTTAAACCTGATATCATAGACATTCAAATTTTACCAGCCTTCTACATAGGTGAACTTGATTTGTTTTTTACAATTATTTAGCCCTGAAATGTATTTCTCAGATTGACAACAAAATGTAATGTAACATATAGAAGCCTTAAGTTTACCACAAAAGCCATGAATGACACAGCTAACGTCCTCTCTCTGTGAAACACAGATGTAGCATTAA